TATGTTGTTACCTAACAGTTTTGGTGTAAAAAGCCTGCATATATCGGTATCGGGTGATATCGGTATCGGAAATTGAGAGTTGGACAATATCGGAATATTGGATATTGGCAGAAAAGCCAATATCGAGCATCCCTAATTTAAAGGCTATGTGTACGAAATTCGTTGCAACTAGATGTTGCACCAGAGCACCAGCTTCTCCGACCAAAACAATGGGTGCCACAGTCGACCAGACGACATAGAAAAAAAAACCTTGTTTACACATCCAGCAAATGCTGAGTAACATTAGCATTAATTTGGAGTCGTGTTTTTTCTATTCCCTGTTTTGTCTCTCTCTTTATGCTCTGTCTTTGGTCTCCACCAACTCCTGACGGAAATGTTTGGCTCTTTTGCTGCTAGATGCTCCTCTATGTTCACCAGCTCTCTGACTCTGTCTGTCTGCTGTATGGTGCTGGTTTTATTTCTTTCTTGCTGAAAACCTCTGCCAAAAACGACACTATGAGAGCGATGAACTAAAACAGTGACAGTCCTAAAAAACAAACACTGTGCTGGAATATGCTCTAAAGCTGCGTAGAGCTGACAGGAACGTTTACATACGCTTCAAAGTACAGCGATTGATTTAATTACAGAGACATCTTTTTCAAAACGTACTTACTGAAAACCATTGAATTAGGGTCTGACAGTAAATATTACTACTTGCACCTGATTCAACACCTTGTCTATATATCTAGTATGTATTACTTTAGTACACTTTATCCAAGCACTACCTGTCTCTCATTCAAGTACCATGTTGACTAAAGGTTTCAGTATACTTAAAACAAACCAACCATTAACCTATCGTGACATCAGCCATTGGTTTGAAGCATCAAGTTTGTCACTATGGCCTACACCATGACATTTTTTTGCAACCAGCGGCGGTGACGTACTACAAGTTGAACAGTAACAGAATCTTGATCCATATTTGATCAGCACTGCCTAGTTTGACAGTTTGATCTGAGTTTTGTGCATTGAGCTGGACAGACTCACTGAGAGTGACCAGTCAATCAAAAGGTAGCCCTAAAGCATACCCTGCTTTATGGTCTGTTTTACTTTAAATGGGACCATAATATACAAAATAAACAATAAATCAAGTGGGTAATTTTCTATACAAACAAACTTTTTTCGCAACCAGTGGAATCACCCCATTAGGAAGAATGCAGGTTTAGAAAACTGTTTACTGAGCTAATAAATCAAGTGCGAAGTAGCATAATTTCTCCATTAGGCCCAATACTCTCAGACTTCTTTTTTGCAGCTCTGCTGGCCATTTGAAAGAATGCAGGTCTAAGACACTTCACAGACCTGGAAGCTCAGTCCATTATATATACTGTCAATGAAACGAACTAATGGTTGTTTTTTGCAGTGCTCCAGATATTAACCCCAACTGTTCCTCTCCTCCCTCAGGTCCACTTCCTGATGGCCCTAGCTGCTAACTGGGGCTACCTGAAAGACACCAGCCGAATGCAGAAGTACGAGGACATCAAGTCGAAGGAGGAGCAGGAGCTGCATGACATCCACTCTACACGCTCCAAAGAACGCCTCAATGCCTACACATAAACACACACCTACGAGAAACGACACATACACACTTAACCTGTCAGACACACACAAGATGATACATGCACACACACGCACTCACACACACACACACACACACAGGGCCTGAGACAACCCTGAGGATAGCAGAAACATACAGTATACATATACATGAGTAAAAAAACAACATACATTGAAAGACACGAGTAGGCAGAAATGAATAACAATAAAATGATTAAAACACAGACACCACCATCATTCTCGTGTCTGCAGCAGATCACTGGCTCAGGTGCTCTGTGCTAACACTTTAGCATCCACTATGTTGGTTTGCTCCATACATACTTTTATTAACCCAGACATTTGCTTTTGAGTGAAAGGAAACCTTTAGCTTTAGCCTCACCAGAAGATGTGGTTAAATACATGATTGCTCAATTAAAATAGTTCCAAAACAAGACATTTGGCTATATGAACTCTGTAATATAAGTTTATACACGTTTACGTGTAAATGTTCTAGGGCCGGCCTCAGCCTTTTCGAGGCCTTAAGTGCTCCATCCCCTTCAACCCCCCTGTTCCCCGGAGTGTGACTGTGCAGAACAACTACAACAACAACTACAACTGACCTAAAATCACAGAAAGAAACAAAAATTACTACAGAAAAGTTACAAAAAAAATTGCGAAACAAAAAAAAAAAAGTGTGTGAAACGTACAAGATAACACTTCACTTTAAGAAATACCAAAAAACAAATAATGAACATAAGAACCCAAAGAAATGTCTTTGCGTGTTTGTGGCCCCATTTGATTACTCCGTTTTTCCAGTTTTATCTTTTAAAATAGCCAGTATTTATTTTGTGATTTACTTTTGCCATGCTAATCTGCTGTATGGAGATCATCACAGCTAACTGCTACGAACTGTTAGCACTGCACACTGAAGCCAACAATCTACAGCAGACACATGAGTGAGTTTGGTGTCTGTGAACTCATTATTTAATGGGGGGGGGGGGGCGTCCAACAGGACAACGTCACTGTAACCCCCCATCCAAAAAGCCTCAATACCTGCAGCACACACACAGACACTCACACACACACACACATACAAACACATAGATGTGGCTGAATGGTCGGTGTTGTGCAGGCAGTGTTGTATGGTGGTGTCATGCTGTGTCGTGTCGTTTCGCCACATTATGATGACTGGTATTGCAGAGAAATATGGTCCCTGAGGAAATTTGTACCTCCCGGGTGCAAATGGTTAGCTTTGCTAACTTTCCCCTTCCCTCTCCTCCCCTCTCTTTCCATCTCCCTTTTCCTCCAGACCTGCCCCTCCTCTTTCTCTACTCTGTGACCTCTTCATCTCAAGCCCAGTTTCATTAGTTGTTTCACGTATTCTTGTCACAAATACCGACCGGTGTGTCCCACAAGTGGCCATTTGCAGGGGGGTGGGTTGAAATCAAATGCAGGACTAATAGTTCATTGTAATAATAATAATAATAAAAGCGTATATTGATTGATAAAATATGCAGATAAATTGTTGTCATAAATTCTTTTTACCAAATTGCCCTAATGTTATTTGTAATTTATCACATGACGGGCTCCTTGAGCTCTCTTGAACTTTCAGATTAAAAGCACTTAAAATGGCAGTGGGGATTTCAAAGAGGCCAGTTAAAACAACTTGTGAAACAGGGCTTTGTGTCCCTCCCTTTCTATCCCCAGTTTGTATAAACTTGTGATTTGTTCTCAGAAACAGCACATCTTAGCAGCACAAAGTCTTTTTAACGTGTGTCATGTTCTCATAATGTTTTTTCTCACTTTTTGGAATTTTTGACACATTTTTATCAGTATTATTTATGTGTAATTTTAGCATTGGGGGTATTTAAATGGGGAAGATGTGTGTGTGTTGGGGGAAGGGGAGGGGGTTGTATCACTTTCACATTTTAATGTAATGATTCTGTATTACAGTGGTTCTGCACACACACAAACACACATACACATGCGTATACACCAATCATCTCGAGAGCATTGGTTCTCGTGTCGTCATGTTTTGGTTTTTTTTAGCGAGCCCTAATGTGACCAAAACTACCGTTTAAATTGCTAATAGTCAGCTTACCGTTGGCGACATGAACAGATGGTTACTGTGAATTCTGGGCGGCCTCACTGAGGGTTGTAGGTTATTTTTGGCCTAAGCAGCATGTGCTTCAAGATGGAAGATCCGTTCCCCTGAAAACATTTTGAGGTGTGGATATTTGTAACATCTCAGGAGGAGTTTCGGTTGTGAGGCGTTTGAAACGGATGGGTGAGATGGGAATTTAAACCGGTCTGGATGTGCTGAAGGAAGCAGGAGAGAACTCACCATTAGTGGCTGCAGGGATTGATCGGAGGAGTGTTATTGGGAGAGAAGACCATAATGAATGATGTCCCAGCTAATAAGCTCATTGTTTAGGAATGATTTGCTTTACTGGATAGGTTTGTGGTTTTAAAGGATGTTCCCAGCTTATATTTGGTGTGTTTATTATCTCCTCAGGTGCTTCTATATTAGGATGCAACTTTCTTGTAGTTTAAAAAAAGAGGTTCTACCCGTTGCTATGTTTTTTTAAGAGGCCGATTACACTAGTTAAAATTAAAAAAATCTGAGCAGTAACAACTTCAAACCTGACTTTATTTTGCTATAATCTAATGCAGTGTATACAGCACTTAAGAGAATATTCTCTGTCACCAGTGTGCAGGGCTTTTCTGTTTGTATTCTATGTTCTGTTGGGCCAGCCATTAGAATAAGAGGATTGTATGTCAGTCCTGGTTGTAGCTGTGAAGGAACGCGATGATTCTCTATCTGCCAGTAGAGATGACCGAGAGGGGATTCAGTTCCTCCTGACAGTGAAGATGGTGGCGAGGATGGTGGTAATGAAGGGTTCGATTTGATGACACTACCAGCATACACACACACACACACACACACGCACACCACCGCCATCACTCTGAGCCATAACTCTTTGCTCTTTTACTTTTCACCAATAACATTTCACTATTTTATTATCAACATTAAATCTTTGAAACTTTTTAAATGTGAAATCATTTAATTAGAAAAAAAGGAAATGTGTTTCTTTTTCTTTTATTTTCTTGTGTGGGCAGTATTAAGCACTGTTCCTGCATTAACTCTGTATAAAGATATACATATATGTGAGACAGTTGAGGTGAGCAGCCGGGAGAATGATTTCCTATTGGTTACAGAGTCTGGAGGAGGTGGTTCAGTCCCAATGTCCTGAGCTTTTACTCCCTAAGAGAGCTGCATTAACACACACGAAAGATATGATGTCTTTGCATCAAACTGCTTATCCAAAATTTGAAGAAAAAAAAAAAATTATGTGCCACAAATAAGCTGGTTTTTGCTTGTCTGTGAGATGATTTTCACATGGTACTGTAGTGGATATACTGGCTGGTTTAAAGGCAGTACAAACAAGTCTAAAACTAATGGTGTACTGTGGAAAAGGTTTGGCAGTCCACAAGACGTTAATTGCAAAAACATCGATATAGTTAAGAGCCAATGGTCACAAGATAGAGCCTGAGGAGTTCAAATTAACGACCATGAGCGAATCAGACCAGTGTCGAACAACATATGTTAAAGCTGCAGTAGGTAACTTTTATAAAAAGTACTTTCAGTCATATTCACTGAAACTTTCACTATATCCTGACAGTAGTACACGAGACAGATAATTTGTGAAAAAATCAGGTTCCTCTGGCTCCTCCTAGTGCTCCTAATGGCATTTGCAAGAAACCACCGGGCCTGAACAAAAACAACCAATCAGAGCTGAGAAAGATTAAGTTGATTGTTGAGTCTCATTCTGTCTTAAGCGGCCAACTAAAATCGTCTGTATTTGACGGCCTGGGAATGAGCCTCCACAATCAACTTTCTTTCTCGTACAAATGCCATCAGGAGCACTAGGAGGAGTCAGAGGAACCAGATTTTTTCACAGATTATCTGTCTCATGTTATACTATTAGGATATAGGGAAAGTTTCAGCAAATATGAAAAAAAAGTTATTTTTTATAGAATTTACCTACGTCAGCTTTAAGCAGAGCAGAGACCAGATTTAATTCCAAACTGATGGAGACAGCCAGTCGGCAAAACATGGAGTGTCTATACAGGCACTAAAGTTGTGCTTGTCTGGGGATTTCAAGCCAATCATTTCTTCCAGGAGTTTGAATCTGGTTTTGTGTGTCATGTAAATGCAGCTGAATTTGACCAAAAAAAAAAAAAAACTTCCATCTGTGTCGATGACGGGAGACTCCACCGGACTCGTGTCCTGTTCAGGTGTGTCTCGGCTGCATACAGTCAGTATTTTTAAGGGTCTAGTTTTACAGTAACAGTATTTTATCATTTCATTGCCTGACAATGGATGTCTTGTCAGTGTTTTTAACCTCAGATAAAAGAAAAAAATAGTTTTTTGTGCACTTATTGACCATTGTGAGCTCTCTCTCTTATTCTTGGTGTGTAAGTGCATTGAGATCCCAAATGTGGGACCTGTGTATAGTCTTGCAGCATTGGTTATAACCTGAAGAAATAACAATGATGAAAACGAATGAATTCATAATAATGAAGATAATCTTATACTAGGTTAAAAAAAAGAAGAAAAAAAAAGACAGTGAATCTAGTTGTTGTTTGTGGCATGGTTATGCATTCAATGGTCATAATTTTAATGATTAAAACAATACAAAAAAAAGTCATTCTTTTCCACTGGCGCTGTTCTGCTGTTTTTGTTTTGTTTTCAACTTCTCAGTGTGCAGTATTGCGGTTCCTGTTGCTAATGGTGTTGCTAAGCTAGCTTGCTTGCTCAGTTGTTTACCACCAGAGCAATATATTGTAGCAGTTTGACGAAATCAAGACATAAACAAGAAATCCATACCCGTAAATTTCTGGCATACAAGTGCATGAATCTATGATTGCAAGTCTTAAGTGATATGATCATGGTGTTCTTTATTGTTTATCCTAATAAAGCGGATTTGCAGATGTGGTGTAATGTATTGCTCTGGCCACCCATTATCCTGCACCCACCTCCTCCTCCTCCTCCTCCTCATTTGGGGCCATTTAGGCTGCAGTCGCACCACAGCTCTGGATGTCCAATTCATATTTGAATTTAAAAGTGACTCATGTCTGATTTCCTGCGTGCTAGAAACAATCTGCATGTGTACAGGAGAGTCACTGTTGCATAAGTAAAGCTCTGTGTAACCAAGCAACAAGCACAGTCTGCCCAGCTCACACTGCCAAATCACCATCTGTAATGGATGCTAACAAGGCAAACTAATACTTCAGGCTACTTCCAAGACATATTTAGAGCCACCCAATCACATTTGAAAGTGAAGAAGAATGTTTGTGGGCTGCAGTGACTGAATACTGGGAGATCCACATGTGGATACGGTCCAAAATGGGTAGTTTTTCACTTGAGCAAAAATGTCAAATTGGGTCATCTGTGCCAGGTGGTGTAAATGTAGCTTAAATGAAACCAAAGCACCTAAAATCTGATATTTACTCCTTCGACAGCTGTGAGAAGATCCGGCTGCTGCTGCAGTCAGGAGGAGGATGAGAGCGGCTGCTCTCCATTTGATTAAGTCTCCTCATTTACTCTCAAACCCACGTCTCCTTGTAAAGATGAATATGTGTATTGCCACGTGCTAATCCTGCGTTCTTCTTGTCTACCCACTGACCACAGCTGAACATGGACTCACTTAACCATCCCACGATCCGCACGCATTTGTGACAGGATTCCAAAAACTGGCTGTGTCAGTGTTAATAAAGCATGAATTTCAATGACATGAAATCTGATTTCTGACCCTCTGTGAGAAAGATTTGATCTGTTTTTGACTGTTTTTGCAGCTATAAAACCTCAGCTCTGTACCACAGGATTAAAAATCAGATCCTCTGTGCCTGAACAAATTCAGCTCTTGTCCATCACGAACTGAACCCCAGATCTAAAAGCTGATGTCAGTCTGTGACCTCCAACTGATCATCACATGTTTCAGATCCATGCATTATGTCAGGTTGGACATTTTGGACGTTGGGAGTAGTTATTTTTTTCTGTTTCTCCATCAGTACTTTAGACTTTTTGTACTTCACTCTGGTTGCTTAGTAGCAGGCTTTATCTGATTCACTCCTCCATTTTTGTACATATCTGTGCCAACAGCTTGGGCAGACAGTGGCTTTTTTATTTGTAAAGACATAAACTTGCTTGCATATATAAATAAAATGAAATAATACACTTGTGTACTTGTTAATAAGGGAACATTTTGAGTTTGCGTCTTCATTTCACATGATATATAACCTTTGCGGTTGCCTAAAAGGCTTTGTAGATAATAGACCTTTTTCACAGCGGCCATTTTGACACGAAATACTGGGGTAAACAGGGTTTAAGCAATGATACTAATTAAGGTCTGTTCCATTTAGTGTACAGAGCCTTTTTAGTGAGCAAGTGAACATGCAAAATAGCAGCACCCTGACTCTGTTTGACCTGAATGGAAATGAACCTTAATTTGTACCATTGGTAACACCCGTGCTTACCCTACTTGTGCTTACCATGTCAAAATGGCTGCTGTGAAAAAGGTATTTTGTAACATTTATGGAATTCTATTAATTTTGTTAATGTTATTATACCAAAAAATCACAAGTGCTTGTCCTGACTCCATGTCTTAAGATTGGGTTTTCTACTATGTTCAAAATCCAAAATATCTACTACAACATGAAAGCACAGAGCAGGATGATTTTTAGCTTTGGCTATTGAATAACATATCAGTTACTTGATACTTTGGTGCTCATGATTCTGCTAAATGAACTGAAGGATGGAACTGTGAAGAATTTAACTAACAATGTCTAGCAAGTCCATATTGACAAAAGTTCATACATATTTGTGTAGGAAATCAAAGCAGATTAGAACTTGCTCAAGCACCTAAGATGTTTTGTACTTCCAGATAAAATCCAGACCAGGCACCTAGTTGAGACCTTCCCTCTTTATTTGTCAGAATACCCTGCTATTAAGTGAAGTTTTACAGTGCATGAATCCCAAAGGATATGGTCTTTTTGTGTGTGTAGTGATAAATGTTAGACATTTAATCACAGTTACAAAGTTTTATTGTAGCTCCATCTTACCAACAGAGCAGTACTGTCAATTTCACTTCATTTCTGATTCTGATTCTGATTCTGATCTGAATACAGGAGCAACAGTAGGAACCTAAACAATGTCCACCGTGGCGTGAAATGCTGCTCTGAGGCCTCATTCTGAGGGTAAAGTCTCAAAATCTCCAGCAACTGTACAGTGTTTGCAGAATATTCTGTAGTTCTGCACTAAAATAGGCAGAATTCATCCAAATGTACATCTGGTGGGGAATTTAAAACAATACATTTTCAATAATTTAGATTATTGTGAATGTAGTCATGACCTTTATTGATAGATTATGTACATGACTAGACCAAAATCTATGGAACCCTACAGTAAAATTTGGGGACATTTTTTTACAGGGCAGAACTTAATGCGGTGGCAGAAATATAATGCTGATTTAACGCAATCACATATTTCAGTGTTTCCCAACCAACCCAGCCAGAGTTTCACAGTGTGTCGCGAGGCCTTCTTGATTTTAAGGGGTGTAGGAAAACTTTTTTTAAAAATACATATACAGTAGGTTTGTATTTAATTCAGAATAAAGAAAGAATGAAATAAAATAGTTATTTTTGAAGTTTATGTTATTTATAAGCAACCCAGTCTCATATAAAAAACGTACCCTGGCTACGTTTGTCCAAAGTGCAAAAACGTAGAGGGGTTACAATAATGGCCCTTAAATTGTATGACTGTTACATTTTTTCTGCCTATTCTTTTCATATTGTTTTGCGTCTAAATATATGCTGAGTGTATTTCTGTTTGTTTTCACATGTTATTCTGTTACTTTACTTACTTTACTTAACTGTTCTGAACTTATGTTCCAAACAAAAAACATATTGTGCCAATTGCCTTAAACCATTTAGGTTTATTAACTCAAACAATTTAAGCATTAAAAAATGTTTGATTCGAGTACAAGTAACTCAAGTATTTGTTAAGGTAACTTGAAAAAAATAAGGTAATTTTACCACTTCCATTCAGTTAATTGAACTTAAATATGTATATTGCAGTCATATGCAGAATTTCTCCTAACATACTGAACTTATTTAAATTTATCTGAAGAAAGTAAGACCAAACTTCCGACAATGTTAAAACATTTTTTAATTAAAATGGTAAAAAACTGTATATATATTTAGTTGGGGCACCATAAAAATACTGTAGAAGATTATAAAATAACTGACTCGTAAAAATACAGTAATTTTTCTATAACTGAAATACAGTTTTATCTTCATCTATCATAAAATCCTGTATCGTGTAATGTTTAATTAAAGATTATTACACATGTAAAAACTATGAAATTACTTACAAATACAGGTGGACACTGCTATAATACAAATAATTAGGCTTAAATTTACAGAAGAGTGCTGTTTAATTTTTCTTATTTTAATCTTAATTTTAAAAGTCACAGAACTGTGATAAGTGTAATTATCTGTGAAATTATAGTAATTATTTTCATTTTGATAAAAACTGTATTTTGACAGTTTACCAATGCTTATACATTGATACTTTATTTAATGTTTTTGTTACAGATTAACAGTTTAATCTA